GGCGGAAGACTGGAGGATGCTATCCGTATGTATTGTGTGTCTCTGTATGTGCGTGCAGAGTGTTGCGTGTGTGCGTGTGTGTGTTTGTATGTGTGTGCGTGTGCGTGTGTATGTGTGCGGCGGCGTCCTGTTCACCATGCGAGAGGAGCCAATGTTTGAGAAGTCCAACAGGTCAGACGGGAGGATGGTGGCTGTGGGGTTGGAGAAGCAGAGGGGGAGCTTCAAGGCGTCACTGCATCGTGTACCTCGAACTTATGTAATACGTCAAAACTTGGTGTCGTTCTGCTGTATAAGCTACTTGTCTCTGCGATGCCCCGTTTGCTTCGCTCGGTAGCGTCTGTGGGCGAACTCAGTCGGCTATGCGAATACGTGCTTGAGGGAGGGGGGGGCCTCCCCCCGGGAACATTGAAGAGGGGGCGCTCGCGATAAGAGGTCCCCAGTGGAGCCGGATTAGGTCATTGGCGTGTGGCTGTAGCGGTTAATGATACCTGCCAGCAGTAGTGATATTACTGCTACGAGTGATCTGTATAGATAGACTACAGTCTACCGTTGCTGGATACGTCCCGAGTAGAACACAGATGCAGTATTACCAGCAATAGTACGACTGTATTTTCTCCCATTCACTGCCGGTACGATGATTCGGTACAGCAATTTGTAGGCATCACACTGTCGTCTCCAAGTTTGCAGTCACCAGAAACGTAGCAGGCTCCTAGGCTGACAACCTGTAGGTGGCCATTCGGCACCGTGTCACTGAATGTTCGTTCCCCCTGCAAGGCGGTTACGTCACCACTGGAGCTGCTGTTTCCTAGTATTATTATTACTTGTCTTGTGCTCTGTACGGCACATATTATGTATGTACGAGCAATACTGCGGCGTATTATCACTGCATATATTACGACTACGAATATACAGATTATATGCACCGCAGTCTACTACCATTCCAGCTCTCCTCAGCCACATGGTCAGAAAGCCATCAGAACACGGCCGACTTTCTACGAGCAGCTCTCTCACATCCATCCTTCGGGAGCAACTAGTGTCGGACATGTGAGCGAGACTGAGAGTCGAGGTAAAGGCGACATCAGAGTGTGATGGAATCTTCAACGAGACCGGGTGTGTGCAGATCCATATCCGACCTCCCTTCAGCTCAGCAGCTCCATCTTGCCACGCTCGGTGTTTCGGAAGAGACCAAGGTGCTCTGCTTGCGTGATGGCGAGTGGGAGGTAGGTGAGCAGCTCCAAGAGACGGTCGGCGGCCTGATGGTCGTCCAGACGGTCTTTCTGTATCAGCGCCTCCTCCGAGTAACTCCTTGCTTCTTGCTTCATCTCGGTCCATCTCGGGCACTTCGGAAACGTTCCTACCGGCACTGATAGCTTTTGGTATCGGCTTGACTTGTAAACAGAATTCGTCTGCCCTCGCTGTGAGGGGGGCGCGCTGGTAACTGTCGTCAACGCCTGCCGAGCCTCTCGTGATTTGCTCATCATCGGCGTTATCGACTATGGGGAGCCATTCGCTCGCCCGCTTCTTTTGAGCCCATGTACCGGCGAACAGAGTTGTTGATACTTTCGCTGTCGGAGCTTTCCTCAATGCCGTACCTATCGGCGATCTGCTCATATGCCTGGTGGGATGTGACAGCGCCACAGACCCCAACAACGAGGGCAGGTCGGATCATGGGGAAGCTCTCCCGACAGCCCGATGCCGTTACGGCTGCGCGTGCCTCGCCCATCCCTCCCGTACGTACCAGGACGACGCTGTGACGACCCATCGTGCCTGACGAGCAGACATCTGTATAGCTTGGTGCTTTGCCGAGGAGTGGGTGATGATCGTCATCGTCGTCCTACCTGTGGTCGGACAAGGGTCCGACAGTATCGGCCACGAGGGCGAGAGCACGGAGGATGGCGATCTCGAAGCCGTCGCGGCTCTTGCGCCTCGATGTGTGTACGGTTGTGACGGGTGCCTAATGATCCCCCCCAGTACCATTTCAACCTCGCAGTCCGTATACGCTTGGGAATTTTGATACGAGTGCATCCGCCCGTGCGGCCTTGAGAGTAACCGTATTTTCTCCATGCCTCTTGGATAATTCGTGGACTTGACGCTTTGAATATTCTTGAAGACCTTTTCTGTCATATAAAAGACTGCACCGGATGCCTAGTCCCCTGATTCTCGTAACTGTTGATGTTGGAAAACGTATGTGTATGTATGACAAGGCCCCCTCCCCCCAACCCCCCAACCCCCTTCCCTTCTAATGTAGTAGTAGTAGTAGTAGTAGTAGTAGTAGATATGTGGGCTCATGAACCATGAATCCCGTCAGACGTTTCCTCCACTTTATCACTATGATCTATCCAGTGTCTCTATCCTTGCTGCATCCCCCTTTAGATCTTGGACTTCTCAAGACGCCTACCAAGCTCATCAAACTCAATCTTCTGGCCCGTGATCATGGCCTCCTGGAGGGCACAGCCGATCTTGACGGCGTCCACGGCACCCTTCAGCCTGACGGGCACAGGCGTGTTGTCGAGGCAGCAGGCCGTGAACTCGTTGGCCTCGGTGACAAAGGCCTCGCGGAACCGGTCGTAGTACGTGGAGGGCACCTCGCGACGGATGCCGGTGGGCTCGTGGATGTCGACGAGGTTGAGATAGGGCTGCTGGTTGACAGCCACCTTGCCCTTTGTGCCAAATATTTCGGTCGTGTCTTCCTGGCCGGCCGCCATCATTCGAGAGCAGAAGAGCTGGACGATTTTTCCGTCCTGATGTTTCGACGATGGTTTATCAGTATCATCTTGACCATTCTAGGGTTTTTTTTTTCTTCTCCTTTTTTTGGGGGGGAGGGTAAGGGGGGGGGGGGGGGGGGGGGGGGGGGGTAATGCGGGGGGGGGGGTGGGGGGGGTTGGGTTAATGAGAGAGAGTAATGGGAGATGTATGTAGAGGCAGAAAAGAAGAGGAAGAAGAGACATACGTGAAACTCAATCAGACCGGCACCGTTATCACGGTCATTGTGCTTGCGCAGCTCAGGCGAGACAGCCGTGATTCCCACGGCGGACACGCTCTTGACGACGCTGTCCTCGCCCATGAACCAGAGGGCCAGGTCGATGTCGTGGATGGAGCAGTCGACAAAGATGCCGCCGCTGAACTCTGCGTAGGCGACGAAGAAGCCGGACGGGTCGAGCTTGTCGCAGGTCTGGGAGCGGAAGACGGAGGGGCGGCCGATGTCGCCGTTCACGACGCGGCGGTGGGCGTCGCGGTACGAGGCGTCGAAGCGCCGCGAGAAGCCGCACATGACCTTCTGCCCCGGCCTCTTCTTGGAAGACTCCTCGTAGGCATCCAGGACCGACTGCGACACCTCGGCGCTGGTGCTGAGCGGCTTCTCGCACAGAACGTGGAGGCCGGCCTCGATAGCCTTGATGGACTGGTCCGCGTGCACGGCCGTGGCGCTGGACACGACGACGGCCTGGAGGGTCGGCTCGCTCCTCAGCATCTCATCGTAGCAGAGATACGTCCTGACGCTTCCAAACTCGGCCTTGGCCGCGTCCAGCTCGGCCTGCACCGGCGAGGTCACGGCGATGAGCTCGGCCCTCGGGGTCAAGGTGGCAAAGTGACGAGCATGACGGAGGCCTGGTTACAACACGCATGAAGTATCAAGATTTTGTCAGCACACACACACACACACACACACACACATATATATATATATATATATATTTAACCGTAAACATGGCAAACTTCTTCTCTCTTTCTTTCTTTCATAGGGTAGAAGAGAAAGGGACTTACCCATGCGGCCCAGGCCAGCAACAGCAACTTGAAGCTTCTGACCAGACATTGTGATGTCGATTGAGAAGAAGAAGAAGAAGAAGAAGAAGGAATATGAGGATTTGAAAGGTTGGATCGGAAAAGGAGTCGTACTGAAATGGGGGAAGGAGGGGGAAGGAGAGAAGATGGAAGGAGGAAGAGACGGTAAGGAAGAGCGAGAAAGAAGATGACGAGACCTGGAAGTTTTATTTTTTTTATAAAAAAAAAAAAAGAAAAAGAAAAAGAAAAACAACCGACAGGTACGAACATTGGAGGAAACACTCAAGAGAGGGAATCGTCACAGATGTGTGATCTGCCTACAGCGGTGTGCGCGGGCTGGTGGTCTACCGCATACGGAAAACGTTCTACTACCGGTCCATCGCCGAGGGTTACCGTGAAAGGTAAGATTCAAGAGGCGATAAGACGGTAAGAAGGATGCCACACTTTCACGTCCCTAGCTAATTAGATGTCCTCTGTACGCGGGGAAATGGCCATTCTCGCCCGGAGAAGATTACTACGTACGTTCTAGGGAATCGAGGAGGTGATGCTCACCACTTACTGCCTACGAGTACGTTGCTTATCCCCCACAATCTCCGGCTCTAGAGGCATGCACTACTCACCACCATATGTACTAATCGTAGCTAGCCCCATTTTTAGGGGGGGGGAAAGGGGGGGGGGGGATATTCTTTGAGTCTCTGCTCGCGGCAAGTGGAATTATGAGGGGAGAGAGGGGCGGGGATCCAGGGGAGCTCTGAACAAGGCAGGACAGGAAGCAACTTCAGCCCATGCCACCGAGTCGCTTGATAAATCCTGGGATGTGACCAAGACACTCATGATCGTGTGCTTCTTGTAATGGATACATCGTAAGTACTAGGCTGCAGTACTCGTAGTAAGCATTTTTGTTATCCCCCCAAAGAGAGAGGGGGGGGGGGGGTCAGAGACCGCTCGCACCTCTCGCAAATGTCCATATATTTGTCGCTAAGACACCTCTATACTCCTTTGAATTGGCAGGCACAGAAAATTCCAAAGAAAAAGAAAGAAACGAAAAAATAACATATGAAGGAGTTGATAACAGGGGGGGGGGTTATGTGAGAGAACGACAGTTTCTCCCATGCTAGTGAATTCCCCCCCCCCCCACACACACACACATATACATACAGTATGCTGCCGTGTATAGGTGGAGATAATGAGAATCTTTTTTCTTGATTCCGCACCATAGCCACCACATAAACCCCTGCGTGCTACTCACACTCACTTCCTCAGACTATCCAGGCGAGCCTGAAGATCGTCGTCGACGGGATCACCGCCGCCGGGGCCGTCACCGCCGCCGCCTCCACCCACGGCCTGGGCAATTCTGCTTTCGGCCTGTGCCTCGTGTCCTATCGTCGTGGGAGTTTCGCCGAGCTGTTTTTTTTTTTCGTTATCAGCAATATGCTTTCTTTTGCCTTGCCCTAGACAGAGACAAAAAAAAAGACAGGGAAAGGAAGGGGACGGGACGGAGAGAGGAAGGGGTAGTGAGCTCACCTGCTGGTTAAAGTCGATGCCAATTTCCTCGAGAACCTGGTCCACCACCTCGTCTCCTTCCTCCTCGACACCAACATCCATGGCATCGTCGACGGCGTCGTCCATCATCTCCTGCCTCTGGTCCATAATGTCGTTTTCCCTCTCAAATTCCATGGCTATCCGCTGAAGCTGGGGGAGGTTCATCGACTTGTTCATGCTGCCGAGGGCCATGGTGGCACCCTTCATGGCCTGCATCATCTGTTCGTTGGTTCGGTATGTCTATTGTGTAGTCTGGTCAGCAATCGTTTTGATGATTGCCCATCTTGTCTCCTTCCTTCGTTCCTCTCTTTCCTTGCTCTTATCTCCCTCTTTCTTCTTCATCGTCTTCTCCTTCCTCTCCACTCTTCTCTGCCGGAACACATCTTCTGCTCTGCAACTCACCTGAAGACGCAGCGAAATCTTTTGCAGCTGGCTCCTCATTCCGTAAAACTTCTCGACGTAGCGCCTCGTGCGGACCAGATCCTTTGCCTGGATCTTGCAAGCCCCCATCTGCCCATTCTTGGCGCTCGTCTTGATCTGCTGGATCAGCGTCTTCTCCTGCTTCTCGAGCTTGACGCGTGTCTGATCCAGCTCGCGGATGGCCTTGTCCAGCATACGCTGATTCTTGCGCAGACGCTCCGCCGGTGTCATTCGCTTTCCAAACGCCCATTCTAGAAGCTTTTTGTTTTCGAATCTCTCTGTCAGCCCCTTGCTGCTCCCGTCGTTTTATTCCGTTCCATTGTTCCCATCTGCCGCAACGCGCGCGCGAGAGCGCGGGGTCCCTTCTTTTTCCTTACATTCATGGCTGCTGTGTGTTGTGTATGTGAGATCGGGTCGTTCGATGCAACGCAGAATGTTGCTCGAGGAAGTTCGGAAAATATTCCGAGATACGAGAGTCGGATAGATAGACTGGTGATAGCAGCGCGAGAGGGAGACGATTTCGCGGGCTATGTTATCGTATGCTGTTGCCTCATGCCCAGATTGTAGTGATGGGTCAGTCAACCGACGTAATAACTGGGGGGGGGGGGGCCGGAGGAGACAAGACTTCCAAAACGTCAATGGCCTGGCCCCACCCACCCTCCTCTGATATTACTGTACTGCGACCATTACTGTGACCGAGCTCCTCGTTGGGCTTTGACCACCCCTGGCAAGGCGATAAGATAAGTCAAGTTCCGGGTTTTTGCCGGCCCATACGGTAACAACACATGGCTTCAATTCATTCTTCTCGTCACTTCTCGTCCTCGGTCTTTTTATCTTTTTTTCTTTTTCTTTTTCAACCCTCTTGTTTGGCCTTGAATCATCATTGATCTCAAGGGCTTACTGGTAGTCGGAGTAAATCTCTGTCATTGTGATTTTAACGCGGCTGTTTGCCGTAAGGCATGTCTAGTCGCGAAGTGCTACTGATATGGTGGACTTGAAAGCAGAGGACATTCTGAATTTACCGTCTCACCTTCGTCTTGAGTGTTCACTCTAGCAATATCGCCATAATTCTGTAGTAGAAGTGTCCATCTGTTCATAGGCCTGTACATATATATATATATAAAGGGGGGAAATCACACAGATTCCACCTCAGATGGACAGTTCCCGTCCTCGCTGATACCGCAGTTACCCTATCCAAACATACGAAAAATGGACAGGGTATTGGGATCTGTTCATGGTGCTTAGACAGCGAATACTGCGCAAGCATCTAGACATGGCATTCGAAATCAGACCAAGCGCAGTTGAGTAATTGGTTGAACAGAATTTCGATTGTACGACAAAAAAAAATACATGAGCAGATACAATCCCCCTGGCTGCTCTTGAGATGAGAAGATTCGAGGCATCCAAACTCCTTCCATGCAACTCATCACGATTTCATCTTTCCGTAACTTGAAAAGGCCTTCTTCTTTCCCTCCGCCCTTTCCCTTCTAATAGTAGGTGCTTGGGTGGCTAATTATTATACAATGGAGATGTGTAGGCATGTGTCGTCATGCCCCCCCCCCCATAAAAAAATACATGGAGAGCGTGTGTTTCTTTTTCTTTCTTTCTTTTTGCGTGCGCTTTCTTTCCCCCCCTTGTCTTTTGGGAGAGGCATTAATTACCCGGTTCTCGGTTTTGCTATGTCTCTTACAGAGCAGGCTTGACCTGGCCCTGAACCTGACCCTCGCCGAGGGCGGCGCCGAGCTTGTCGGCGGTGGTCTGCTCAGCACCACCGGCAGTGAGGAGCTCGCTACCCTGCTGGCGCATATTGTACTCCTGCTCCATGGCGGTGAGCTGCTGGTCCTCGGCAAAGGACAGGGCGAAGGGGACACCGAGGAAGAGGGCGGAGGTGGTGATGACCCACGAAGCCTTGCCGCTAAAGGACAGGGCCGACCAGGCGGCGCTCGAGATTGTGTTGACCTTGCCCGAGATCCAACTGCGGGTCGTGGGGGGAACGATGTCGCGGAGGGCGTATAGGCGCTCGGCTAGACTCTCTTCTGAAGGGTCGAACTCGGACTCGTTGGAGATTTCGGAGTCTGCATCTTTTGTCAGAAGCAGTCTTTTTTTTTTTCTAATTTTTTCTATAAAAAAAAGAAGAAAGAAGAAAACAGGGATAGAATGAGGGGGAGGGGAGGAGGGATTTGGAGAGACAGAGGGGAAGGGGGTGGATGGGCTAAGGGGGAAAGAAGTTGCTTACCAGTATCGGTAAAGTCGTCCTCCTCCTCGGGGCCGGTCTGGTTGGACTGGAAGTGCTCGTCCTCGACCTCGACAAGCTGGACCATGTTGACGGTTTGTGATGGGGTGGGATGGGGAAAATTAGACGAGGCCGGCGCTGGGTGATGTGCGCAGGATGGGGAGAAAAAGTGTTTCGATTATGTTCGAGTAGCTTTGGAATTAGATGGTCGTTATTAGAGCCAGGATGGGGGTTGGGCGTTGATGGATTGGATGGGTCGATGGATGGATCGGTTGATGGATTGATGGCAAAGGGGGAATGGTCGTCATACAATGAAAAAAAAGCTCCCGGGAGGCTTTCAAAATTTCTCGGGCATTTCCCTTACCGGGGGGGGGGGGGGGGGGGGGGGAGCGGTTCAGGGATCAGATCCCCCCTGTTGGTTTACCCGGGATTTCTGCGCTCATCACGTGCTGCGACTCATATCGATACGGCTCGACGATTTCCCCTTACGTCTTTTCTTGCCAGTGTTACTTTGACAGTAGCTGACGGGATGAGAATCTATGTTTTTTTTTCCAACAAATATATAATATGAAGAAGAAAAAGAGGTAGACGGAAAGAAAAAAAAACTCTCCCGTACATCATCAATCCATTGAAATCATGAGAAATGACGTGTTGGAGTTGCCGTCTGTCAATATGTTATACCATGGGCCGCAAATTCCGAGACGCTACCTGTACAGGTACTCGTTACTCGTACAAGACGGTGCCATGACTGAGTAGCAAAACATCTCCTCTCTCTCGTACAAGAAATGGAAGCAGAAAGGAAAAAGAGAAACAAGGGGAAGAACTTTCCCTCCCCACAAAAAAAAATCCTACATGTTCACGTGATGAGACTCCACCGATTCTTTTGGGTTCCAAAAAGGTGGGATACACATGTTTTATATTCTCTCGTATCATTACCAACACGAGGCTACCTGTATATGTACGACATGATTTAGTAATAAGAACAGAGGTAAGACCGAGGTAATAGTAGTAGTAGTAGTAGTAATACTCTGATGTACTCTGGCAACCCGCACAAACGTCATCTTATTTCCAGCCCGCTATTGAAGAATGCGTCTACGCACATAGGTTTGGAACCTGTCAATGTGGCCCAATTGCCGCGTTCTCCTATCAATGATCCAGAAGTTCTAGACTGGAGTCTATGGAAGGCGGCAATACAATGAGAATGCCATTGCGAAGGTTGCATTCGGGAGGTTCGAGATTTGCATGTCTGGGGAAGAGAGAAAAGAAGAGATCCAGATTCTGGCCAAGAATACTTCCGGCAGGAGGTGCGGCGGCGTCTAGAAATCCCAGGTTGGTGTGGTGTGTCTTGAAAACCTGGAGAGCGGCAGAGCGGGAACAAGGGTAGATACTGACTTGACCTAGTATCACTCTTACGTTAGATGATGTATCCTACGATCAATCGATACAGGGGGTGCGTGTGTTGCATGCAAGGTGAAGAATCCTCTCTTCTCTTCTTTCCTTCTTTCCTTTTTTTCCTGCAGGGTGCCTCGTGATGTAAGAAGCGTGGGTTATTATGGGGCAAATTAAGATATATATATAAAAAATTCTAAATTAAAAGAATTAGCCCGAGAATTGTTGATTGCGGAGGAGAGATGGTATCATCTTGGATTCTGGAAAAGGGGGGGGGAGGGGCGGGGGAGGGACAGAGGGATTGGAGAGATTGATTCATTCAAGGGGGTTCGCGATTCCGTAATATCAATGGAGTACTATCGTACCGAGTCTGTCGGGAATCCTGAGGTGGTCACGATGGTCGAAATGTGCGGAGACCGAGTGGATTGTATGGCAGGTGGCGCGTGACCAATCTCTCTTCCTGTCCTCATTTCGAATGACAGGAAAAGGAAAAGAAAGAAGAAGGAAGGAGAGAGGGAGAAAGAAAGACGCAAGGCGAGGTGGTGACGCGCAACAGGTACAGAGAGCAGGATACAAGAAGGATACTGACGGCCCAACCGCCCGATGCACCATCACGCAACGGACATGCGCGATGAGGACGACAGAGGTCTGCACGGTTTCGACCTTCTCCCCCTTCGGCCTCTGATACCGGTAAGGGGAGACAAAGGCACGTAACATGTTCCAAAACGAGGATAGAACAGCGGGGTCTCAGCGCGGACGACGGTATCTACGGGTAACGAGGCATGCCACGCGGTGGTGGTACTCTTTTTTCTGCACGTATATGTCGAGATGCATTCATCATGTAAACTGGGGGTAATAGAAACAGGCATACGAGGAAACATGGGGGTAATGGAAATACGATTCGGGGCAGGCGTGTAACTAATTGGTAGCCCCGTGACCCCATGGCTCCTCATGGTTTGGGCCGGCCGAGGAGACCGGTGAGTGGGGCCCGTGACCTCCGGGGTGGTAGGTATAGTATCAATACTAGGCAGGAAAGGGGGAAGAGGGGGAGGGGGAGGGGGGGGGTCGGATGGTGAACGGCGCGGAGGATGGCCGGCTTCTCGACCCAACATATAGACACACGTGTTCGAGGATGTGCATGGGGGATTTCAGGGAATGAGAAGATGATGGAGACGGAAAAAAAAAAGTACAGGTGCAATGCAGACAAACGCTCTGCTCATCAGGTACGACCTTGGTAGCTGATACATTGTACGTAAAATCGACAACCATCTCCTGTACCTCGACACCACAACATGACGGGCATCGTAAAGAGTGTTGCACTCGTAGAGAGTACTGCCAGTAAGAGACCAGAAGATAGATGGAGAGAGGGAGAGAATGGCGAATGCATATAGTATTACGTACTGAGAAGTACATGCAGTACGGAGAGAAGCCGAAGCTCGTCAGAGGGGCGGTGGGCAACATGGTCGATCCGGGGAAGACAGAAGCAGACGGTTGAGATGGATACATGCACAAGCCATGTTGCGAAGCACGAACCGGATCTAGAAGCCAAGGGGAGGGTCAGCAGACGTGATAATTCGCTGGGTATGTCGCAATGACTGGCGGTATAGGGAACATTTGCTCTCGCCTGAGTCTTTTTATTTTTTATTTTATTTTTTTTTCTACTTCTTCTCTCTACTTCTCTTCTACTTCTTCTCTACTTCTTCTGTAGACACGGACAGTCCATGCGCAGACGGCTAATATACCTAGTCCCATGTATGTACGGACAGCTAACATCTTACAATGCTGTACTGCCAGCACCGTGGGGAGAGGCACGCGTTGCACGGGATTATATGGTAGGCCAGCGGCGGTTCTCTTGTTGCTACCGCCGCTGCCGAGGTACCTCGGTGCCTCGATATGTAGGGCGGACAAGATGTCAGGAAGGTGAATGGCACTGCATACCAAGCACCACACGTTCCTTTTTTTCTATCGTCATTGTAGTCGTCAGATTGTCAATCGAAACAGAGCAAGCAATGCAGACGTGTCACCTTGTGCTGTATATGTACGAGGAAAGATACCTGTACTTTCCCTTTTACTCCCCCGACACCCGGTCAATGGTCCGGTCCCGAACCCACCGGCTCAGCTTATCAGTCCACGTGATTGCGCAAGAAATGACATTATTGCGGAGGAGGAGTCGAGAGTAAAAATAGATGGATCGAAAGGATAGGATCCGTATCCTCTCAACACTAAAGACATCCTGATGAGATGCATATCCGTACTTGTACGTACTCGTCGTCGTCGTCGTCGTCGTCGTCGTAGTAGTAGTAGTAGTAAAGAATATTATTATTATTACCTACAATGTACATCACGGTACTGCAATTCTGCGACAATCTCGTACCACGAGCCATTACTTGGCGGTACGAGTACCTGTTACCACGTATCACCAGACTACGAGTGCCATGCTATTACTTACCAAAGGGGGGAGCCACAAAAGACTCCAGAAAAAAAAGAAACGAAAGAAACTCCTCGTACGTAAGAGAGCCTCGAATATCCGCAGCAATGTAGCATTACTGCGTATATGTACTCTTTTTTTTTTTTTTTTTTTTTGGGGGGGGGAGAGAGATACCTTTCAGCAAGTACCCCGTAATTCGTACCAAAAATACGAAAGATACGAATAGGCGCTGCTGATACTGCCTGGCATGTATATGTAGATGTAGTCTGTAGATGAGTATAGGTAGTGCTCTGCATGTATTGCTAGCGGTATCGCTACGAGCAGGGCCAGTACTGTACAGCAGTGAGAATGATGCGGAAAAAGGAGTACTCAGATATACATGTACATCGCGACACGCATCCGACAGCCGTTCCTGAGTGGTGGTGGTGAGCCGCCAGGTACCAGACGCTCGAACCAGTCGGGGGGTGGAGGGGCAGCGAGGACAAGTTTTGTGCCTTGTGTAGCCGGCAGCCGTGGGTTTGTTGCTGAAGCCTGACGTCGTCGAGGTCAGATCACGGTACCCTTCAACCCGAATCATCGTGCCTCCAGACAGGTCGATCCTGGATGGAATCGAGAGCGGAAAACTTGTAGAGGAGCAGGGAAGACCAGGCATCGCGGACAGGGTGGAATCGAGGCACGTCCAACCACGACTCTTGGGGCCGTAGCCGTCATGCCGCATCGCAGGGTACCTTCCCGGCTAGCTGCTAGAGTCTGGCGGGGTTCCATCTCCATCTCCACTTTTCCACATATAAAGTACCCTGCACTCCGTAGTCGTCAATAAGAAGCTTCTCTGGATGGTCGTGACGCTGCTGCTGCTGAATGTTACTAGTGACGATGATAATAGTAACAATGATAATAGTAGTAGTACTGATTGCTACGGCTCGTGACATGTATACCTTGTGTACTCCGTAATGCTGGCTGGTATCCATATTACAGCAATGCTATCGATACAATACTCAAAACTCAGTATTGACAGAGGAGGGGGTACGGCAAGCATGTATCGTCGGGTACCTCGACTTCTCCCCCGTCCATGTCGAGAAGGAAGAGAATCAAGAAGGGGACAGTCATAGGACTTCGTCTTGTCGAGTTTAAAAGGGACACGCCATCCGCCACGTTGCTCCCCGACGTCGAGGCAGGAGCATCGTGGCAACACACCGCCTTGACTCGACGCAGAAGAACTGAGACAAGACAGAATCATAGAAAGGAAGACGACGAGTGCATCTTTCCTGTCTGTCATGGCATCATCTCCTCTCGCATCTCTGATATAATAACATACAGAAACCAAAACCGACCACGATAGTACGAATAACCACATCCCTCTCCTGTCAGTGGCCTGATCCCTCCCTCCCTCCCTCCCCCTTCATCGTCCACCTTCTCTCTACGACACACGTGTCTGCCTTCCCATTCCTCTTCTCCCCCCTCCGTCCCCTTCCCAGACAAGCAAGGTACCGCCATCGTGTGATGATTGGTGAGGACTGTGCGGGCGCTGCCATGTACGAAATATCTTTCCCGAATCGACCTCTTCTTGCCAAGCCTGGTCGCCGCGTGGACCCTTGGATGACTCAACCTTTGTTGGCTGACCCTTGTGATGCACCAGACCCGTCACCTGGCTTTCAAATAAGGAAAAAAAAAAGAAAGAGGCCTTCTTCACGATCATAACAAGTTTATCAAGAGAGAAGGTGACCTTTTCTTCTTCTTCTCCTGTATAATCTGTCATCGACGATTACTTCTTTTTTTTTTTTTAAAAAAAAAAAGAAAAGAAAAAGACAAAAAAAGGTTCGAATTGACCACCGTCGAAATCCGTCTATTGTTTTCAACAACGCTTACATCCCGGTTGATAGGGAGGAGGGCACTTGCATCCTGATCGACGGAAAACAAGAGCAAAAAAAAAAATAGATTAAACAAACAAAATAGAAGAGCCCAGAAGCCTTCTCGATACAGGTACATCTCAACTCTCCACCTTTCTCTTCTCCCCTACGAAACTCATACGAGCATTGCTCGCCACATCTTCCCTCTCCCCTCCTTATCAGTCCGTCTTCTATACGAAGTCTGCCCAGCTGCGGCGGTGAAGAAGACAAACATGTGTTCCCCCCTCGTGCAAGTCGCCGTCAAGATAGCACACCCCTTCCCTTCCTCTTGTCCTGTTGCTGTTGCCTTCACACTATCGGACTTTTTGCCTTTCATCTGTGTGCGTGTGTCTTACCCACCCCCTCTCCCTTTTACTACTACTACCATTGCACCATCATCCAACTGATATTACAATCACTGCATTGCCGTGCCGTCATGGCCACTTCACCCCCTCTCTTCTCCCTCCGATCTCATCATATGCGGCCACGCTCCGGACTCTTCAGCCGGGCTTGAAGTCAACGCCCGCATTCCGCTTCTCCTTCCTATAGTCACCGCCTTGGACGCACGGACGCAAAATCTTGCCGGACAATCCCTTATCACTGCTCTCTTACCTGGAGAGAGTCCAGAATGACATTCCCTTTCTCCTAAGATACGGGTATGGCATGTGGGTGGTGTTCTTTCCATACACACACACACACACACACACACACACACACACACACACATATATATATATATATATATATATATATGGCCTGACCTTCCCCCCCTTTGATCGCCGTCATGGGCCCCTTCTATTCATGAACAGGAGAGAGAGAGAGAGCCAAGGTCCCATGCATACAACTCTCATGTACATGCACACGTGCATGACTCTCCTCTAGATCTGCTGCTGCTACACATACCACCCGTCGCATATAGACAACATCTGCCGTGGCTGGCATCTCCGCCGTCATGCTGGCCCTCACCATCGACACGACTAACATGCCCGCCCTCGACAGCTTCCCCGACTACGTCGACCCTCTGGATCAACAACAGCCACCACCCATCATGACTGCCGAAGCGATCCCCAAGCCGAAGCCCCTGGCTAGACTCCAGTCCGACACCTCCGACTCCAGCAGGGGTCCCTCACCACAGCCCACCCACGTCGGTATGCCTCTCCTGCCCCGCCTGGGCAGCGTCAACGGCAATGGCCACCGCGTCCTCCGTTCGGCAACTGTGGGGTACATTGCCCCCGAGTTCCAGGGCAAGGAGGAGCAGATTGTTGTCGGTAAGCTGAAGCCGTCCTCTGTCTTGTCCATTCTGGCCGAAATAATCCTCCCCCCCCCCAAGGTGCCTCGGGGTTATGTTCCGTTCTGACCACAACAACCCCCCTCAACAGTCAAGGAAATCATCAGACAGCAGTCGTGGATCCCCGAGCCTCTCATCGACGAGCAGACTCACTGGTTCTACGAGAAGCTGGGCATAGACGACGTCTTCTTCAAGATCGAGTCCCCCTCGGCCATTGCCAACCAGATCACCTCTCTGTATGCCGCCAAGGTGGCGGCGTCGGTCCGTGAGGATAAGCAGGAGGAGATCCGGCTGGACATGGAGTCGAGCGACCACGCCATCTACATCGATACGAGCGAGCCGGGCAAGGCCCAGGTGGCCGGCCACCGGTACGAGCAGCGGCTCGAGGCCAAGTACCTGGACCACCACGGCAACACAAAGTACCGGGTCGAGACGTTCCGGTCGCCGGCGGCCATCGGGCACAGCCCCGGTTCCAAGACGTCGCTGCGCTGCTACTTCGTCTACCAGTGCCTGTTCAGGCAGAAGCCCGGCGAGACGGACCCCGACGAGACCCGGCTCGAGGTCATCGCCGACAGCGGCTTCTGGCAGAAGGCCACGGACAACACCAAGCAGATCTACCAGGACATCATCCTGCAGGCCGTGGGCCGGGCCGGCCCCGTCATCGAGGTCTACGACATCGAGGGCACGGCCGAGAAGCGGCTGGTGGTGGCGTTCCGGTCACGCACCGCGCGCGGCATCTTCTCGGCCCTGTCGGACCTGTACCACTACTACGGCGTGACCAGCTCGCGCAAGTACGTCGAGCAGTTCGCCAACGGCATCACCGTCATGAGCGTGTACCTCCGGCCGGCCATGAACCTCGAGGGCCACTACCCGTCGCTGGACCGGTCCATCCACCAGATCACGAAGGAGATCTCCCTGCTGTACTGCATCCCGCAGAACAAGTTCCACGACCTCTTCCTGACGGGGGAGCTGAGCCTGCAGGAGTCCGTCTACGCCAACGCGGCCTGGGTCTTCGTGCAGCACTTCCTCAACCGGCTCGGCGCCGAGTACACGTCGCTGTCCGAGCTGCTCAACGCCGGGGAGAGCCCGCAGGCGACGCTGCTCCTGTCCAAGCTCAAGCGCCGGCTGCGCACCGAGACCTTCACGCCCGACTACATCCTCGAGATCATCCGCACCCACCCGGGCCTGGTCCGGCTCCTGTACGCGTCCTTTGCCAGCGTGCACCTGAGCGTGGGGCCCGACCTGGACAGGGACTACGTCGCGCCCACGCCGGCGGTCGAGGTGCTCTCGGACGAGAGGCTGCAGGACACCATCTCCAAGACGGTGACCAACGAGCACGACGAGATGGTCATGACGGCCTTCCGGGTCTTCAACAAGGCCATCCTCAAGACCAACTACTTCACGCCGACCAAGGTGGCGCTGAGCTTCCGGCTGGACCCGTCCTTCCTGCCGGCGGTCGAGTACCCCAAGCCGCTGTACGGCATGTTCCTGGTGGTGGGCGGCGAGTTCCGCGGCTTCCACCTGCGGTTCCGCGACATCGCCCGCGGCGGCATCCGCATCGTCAAGTCGCGCAGCAAGGAGGCCTACGCCATCAACGCGCGCAACCTGTTCGACGAGAACTACGGGCTGGCCAACACGCAGCAGCGCAAGAACAAGGACATACCCGAGGGCGGCTCCAAGGGCGTGATCCTGCTGGACCCCGAGCAGCAGGACAGGCAGCGCGAGGCGTTTGAGAAGTACATCGACAGCATCATGGACCTGCTCCTCCCCGCCGAGACGCCCGGGATCAAGAACCCGGTCGTGGACCTGTACGGCAAGGAGGAGATCCTGTTCATGGGGCCGGACGAGAACACGGCCGACCTGGTGGACTGGGCGACGGAGCACGCGCGGTCCCGCGGCGCGCCCTGGTGGAAGTCCTTCTTCACGGGCAAGTCGCCGTCGCTGGGCGGGATCCCGCACGACAAGTACGGCATGACGACGCTGTCGGTGCGCGAGTACGTCAAGGGCATCTACCGCAAGCTGGACCTGGACCCGAGCCGGGTGCGCAAGATGCAGACGGGCGGGCCCGACGGCGACCTGGGCAGCAACGAGATCCTGCTGGGCAACGAGAAGTGGACGTCGATCGTGGACGGGTCGGGCGTCCTGGCAGACCCCAACGGCCTGGACCGGGACGAGCTGGTGCGGCTGGCGCGCAGCCGGTCGATGATCTCGGGGTACGACCTGTCCAAGCTGTCGGCGGACGGGTACCGGGTCCTCTGCGAGGACGGCAAGGTGCGGCTGCCGAGCGGGGAGGTGGTGACCAACGGGACGGCGTTCCGCAACACGTACCACCTCCGGGGCAGCGACGGCGCGACCGACATGTTCGTCCCGTGCGGCGGGCGGCCCGAGTCCATCGACCTGATCTCGGTCAACCGGCTGATCCGGGACGGCAGGTCGACGATCCCGTACATCGTCGAGGGGGCCAACCTGTTCATGACGCAGGACGCCAAGCTCCGGCTCGAGGCGGCCGGCTGCATCGTCTACAAGGACGCCTCGGCCAACAAGGGCGGCGTCACGTCGTCCTCGCTCGAGGTGCTGGCCTCGCTGTCCTTTGACGACGCCGGCTTCGTGGAGAACATGTGCGTCGACGCCGAGACGGGCCGCGCGCCCGACTTCTACACCGGCTACGTCCGACAGGTGCAGGCCAAGATCCAGGAGAACGCCCGGCTGGAGTTCGAGGCCATCTGGCGGGAGCACGAGCGGACGGGGACCCCCCGCTCCGTCCTGTCCGACGAGCTGTCCTGGGCCATCACGGACCTGGACGAGGAGCTGCAGCGGTCCGACCTGTGGCGGGACGACGCCATCCGCAAGTCCGTCCTCCGGGACGCCCTCCCCGCCCTGCTGCTCGACAAGGTCGGCCTCGACACCATCATCAGCCGCGTGCCGGACTCGTACCTCAGGGCCATCTTTGGGAGCTATCTGGCCAGCCGGTTCATCTACGAGTTTGGCAGTCAGCCTAGTAAATTTGCGTTTTTCGACTTGTGAGTCTTTCCTCCCCCCCCCCCCCCCCTCTCTCTGTCTTGTTGACCTCTCTTCCTCTTCTCTCGGCCCCTCTCCTCTCCTCCACGCTCCCCCCCTCCCCTTCCTCTTCTCAGACAGGTGCTGACATGAAGACGGCAGCATGTCTAAGCGTACGGGCAAGATCAGTCAACAGTAGTCTCTTCTTCTCCCATCCTTCTCTCTGCGCATATAAGAAGGCGCGTTGTTTTATTTTTTATTTTAATTTTTTTATTTTGGGGGAAATTTCTTGAAGAATTTGGCAAGGATCCCACTTCGAGTGAGGATGGTAGCTGTGATAATTGAGGAGGAAGAGCTATTGGAGAGGAATGAAGATGTTTTACAAGTGGTATGCCGCCATACGTTGCAATGAACGACACGAGAGGAAAACAGAAAAAAAAAAGGAACGCATAACGCGTCATCGATAAGAAGAGACGAGAGAGAAAAAAAAGAGAGACAAGGTGTGCTGTTCGCGAGACGCATCACGGTGGTGATGACGTTGACATATAGAGAGCAGTTATGTGGAGTGGGAAAGGTGACATGTCATGCAGAGAGCAAAACAAGGTAATGAATGATGGAGGTCAGAACGTGAGAAATAAGAAGAAGAGGAGAAGAGAAAGAGAAAAAAAGAAACAGGAAAAGGACAGAAGTAGTGACAAGTAAGAACGTACGAGTATGCAACAGATCTGTGACGGTGGCGCTGGTGGGGGAGTGATATCTGCTACGGCCTACAGTAACCTGTACCGGTACGGTACAGGTGAGAGAATAAGGGATACGAGTGACGAGTGATTGCCCGTGCGAAGGATTGATGCAGAGTGTCCTCCTGTATTGCGATATTATGATATTATAATCAATGGAGCATACGGGATGTTATTATAGCTTGTAAATTGCGTGCGCGCGGGACTGCTTGTTTTTATCTTATTTTATCATATATATATATATATATATACACATATATGTATATCTTATTTTCGTTTTGTTTCGAGTGCTTCGCAGTGGTTGGTTCCCGACTCCCGGATACGTACATGCTCTGTACGGAGTACATACGCATATACATATATCATGATGGATACTCCGCCCGTAGGTAGAGAGATATCGACGGTCCAATGATGCGCGGATACCAAATCATTCATTACAGTGGTAATGCCAGTACCGGGGCAGGGAATTCCAGCAAATGGCCCTCTGTTTCAGGAATCGCAGGGGGTTGCCGGGTGCCCAGGTGGTGGTCTAGGCGGATCTGGGCGATGCTCCGGCAGGACTGTGGTGGGACCGCAATAGGAAGCCCCGGATACGATGAAGAGCATCTGATGGCCTGTCCATCTTGGAGCCTATTCAGACGCTTGAGCTTCTCGCACCGACAGACCTCTTCACAATCGACTGTACAGGGCGCAGGTGATACTCGTGTGAACGTACGACGTCACTGCAGGTGTCCGTCGGCGCAGCCGCGCACGACGCACCGCCGTCCACGGGTAGCTGCTATGCCAATACAGCGAGCGATAGCCACCGAAGCACTCCGTAGCAGCGCCTGCGAAGCTGCTCGTACTCGTATCTGTACAGGCACCCAGCCCCTGGGCAGCCCCTGGGAAGCCCCTGAGTTCAAGAATGGGGAAGCGGGACGTGTGATCCAGCTCCCCCGCAACCAATCAGATCGCCCCTACACATACTCGTACAGACAGACAGACAGACAGACACATACACACACACACACACACACACACACGCACACGCACAGAGCACAGAGCACAACGCGCACATACCAACCAACCAACCAACCAACCCCCCCCAAGAAGGATCCTTGTCCGATCCTTGACGGCATTTTCGGGGAGAAGGGGAAAAAAAAAAAAAGAAGTCAGAACAAACAAAAGAGAGGACGAGGAAAAGTAGTCGATCCATTTTTTTCCCCTTACGACACATCGAAACCCAGCAGCAGTCTTGATGCTCTCACAGTGAGGAAGACGACGAAGACGACGACGACGACGACGACGACGACGACGGCGACGGCGACGGAGACACTGTGGCACTCTGCCTCGATAGCGGAGAAAGAAATACTACCAGCACCATCAGGAACATCTCGACAGAGAGGGTCATCATGACGAGGCCTTCAATTGTCCGTGCCGGTACGTCTTCTCATGTCTAGACGGTCAACACTCCCTCGTTCTTCTCTGAGGGAGGAGGCAACAGCAACAAACTCTGAGGAGGGGGGGGGGGGAAAGCGTAGAATAGAGCATCTGTTACGGCACAATCTTGCAAAGCACCCCTGGTTCATCTTTCCTCTCATCACACACCACCGCTATCACCACCACCACCCCCCCCCCTGGCAAATTTGGCCCCTCCTCCCCCCCCCCATAAACCATTTGGAGGATTTGCGCGTTCCATCCTCGAATCTCCTGTCTACTAACTCTTTGTTTTTGTTTTTTTTTTCTTTTTCAATTTTTTTTTTTTTTTCAATCTCAATTCTTTGTTTTCATTCTTCCTTCTCTGTCCCCTTTCGTTTCCTTCACCCCTCGTCGTGTGCTACGCTCGTTCTTCTTCTTCTTCTCCTTCTCTGCCTTCCTTTCTTCCCCTTCCTCTCTCTCTATCTCTCTCTCTGCCTCCTTGTTTCCTCGAGGCCGACCTGATCTGACAGTAAATCTCCCCCCGGGGGTGGTAGACACGATCGACCTTCAGAATCACGACGCTACCTCGGCCAAGGCCCACCAGCGAAGCCACCTCGGCATCCATCAGGCGGAGACCTTGCGAGAGGTTGCCCACGAGTCGGCAGAGGAGCAGGGCCGCAGTCCACGAATCTCCTGGGTCGATGACCCTGCCCAGAACCGCAACCCCGACGACGACAGCGACGACGGTAACGATCTGGCCGCCGGTGTGAGGAGCAAGATGTCGTCTCGGCAGCAGCAGCAGCAGCAGGAGCAGGATGAGATCGAGGATGCCCTCGCCGTGGCACAGAACGGGGGCATCAGCTCCTCGGATGAGGGGGACACGGATGGCGACGATCTCGACGATGATATGCTGGATAGGATATCCAGCTCGCCTTCCATCGAAGACGGTGCGTCGCGGTTCCAACAAACAGACGACTCGATGAGATGGACGAGGCAGGACGAGGCTAACGCAGCATAGAGGACATCGACTTCGAATTCGTCTACGCACTCCACACCTTCGTCGCCACCGTCGAAGGCCAGGCCAACGCGACAAAGGGCGACACAATGGTCCTCCTCGACGACAGCAACAGCTACTGGTGGCTCGTGCGCGTCGTCAAGGACAGCAGCATCGGCTACCTGCCCGCCGAGCACATCGAGACGCCGACCGAGAGGCTGGCCCGCCTCAACAAGCACCGCAACGTCGACCTGTCGGCCACCATGCTGGGCGACCAGAGCCCCAGCCAGAAGCAGCAGAAGGCGACGGGCTTCAAGTCGATACGCAAGCGCTGGAAATCCGTCACCTTTGCCGAGCCCACCTACGTCGACTACAACAACGGTGACTTCTCGAGCGACGACGACGGCGACGACGACGAGATCCTGTTTGGCAGCGCCGCCGCCGCCACCGCCGCCTCCACCGCCGCCGCCGACGACAACCAATCCCAGTCCCAGAGCCAGCAGGCGGCCGGCGACGACGGAGCCGTCGTCGGGCCCCTCAAGACGCGCCCGGGCAAGGTCTCCCGGCCGGGAGACCCGGCCAGGGACTCGGACAGCTCCTCGACGTCGTCGGACGACGACGACGACAGCGCCAGGCCCAGCCGGTCGAGGAACGGCACCGTCCGCAACACGGACTCCTTCTTCAAGGACGACAGCGTCGAGACCAAGAAGATCACCCTGACGCCCAACCTTCTGCGCGACGAGAACGAGGCGGCGGCGGCGGCGGCGGCGGCCGCCACCTCGCGCCCGTCAACCGACTCGTCCAAGGACGGCAGGCACTCGTCGCAGTCGCAGTCGCAGCGGCCCAGCCTCGAGAGCAAGATGGACAAGGAGCTCATGTCGGACCGCGACAGCAACCGCAAGCGCGACAAGGAGGCCCGCGACAAGAAGGACAGGGACAAGAAGCCCAGCGCCATCCGCAGCTTCTTCTCTAGGAAGGACAAGAAGCGGAGCGGCTCGGGCTCGGGCGCCGACGTCGACGCCGACGCCGCCGCCGACGCCGCCGCTGCCGCCGACTCCAAGCATTCCTTGGACGCCGTCTCCGAGCCGCGCGACAGCGAGGACACGACGTCGACCCCCCAGTCGCCCGAGAAGTCGGGCGTCAACCGCAGCCCGAGCAAGCTGCAGAAGGTCCAGCCGCGCATCGAGCCTTCCCCCACGCGCAAGAACTCCCTCCAGAGCAAGAGGCCGCCTCAGCAGCCCGACCTGGCGCACTATGCCGACGCCGACAACAGCAGCCGGACGAACAACGTCTCCTACGTACCTCCCGCATCCATGCGCATCGTCGACCCGGAAACCCAGGAGACGAGGGAGGTATCGTCGAGCCAGTACCAGCAGCAGCAGCAGCAGCAGAAGCAGAGTTCCTCTCCCTTCTCCTCTTCCGGCGGCGGCGGTGGCATGAGTGGAGGTGTCGGTGCCCTGGCCTCGTCCCTCATGCCCCGATCCCTCGACCCTTCCACGTCATCTTCCTCCTCCCCGGCAGCCAAGCCGCAGAAGACGGTCAAGGCCAAGACGCGCATGGAGCTGGACGAGTCAGACACGGGCTCCGACGCCGATCCCACACCTTCTGCGGCTGCTGCCTCCGCCACCGCCGTCTCGGACGAGCCACAACTCCCCGGTGCCTTCCCGGAAGACGACCAGCAGACCCCCACGCAGCCGCGGCCGCAGCCGCGGCAGAGTACCCACCACAGCCACCCCTCCGGCGACGGTCCGGATTCCCGCACGGCCGTGCAGGGTGACATCTCCCCCGTCTCGTCCAGCCAGCCGCCCGGCCTGACGGGAGACTACTCCCCCTCACCCGTGGGTTCACCATCCCCTCCCGAGGAGGGGGACTCTTCATCCTCCTCCTCGTCGGAAGAAGACCACGTCGTCACGCCCGTCGCTCCTACCGCGGGAGCGACGGCGACGGGTGCGGCGGCGCGCACCATGCCCACTCCGCTCCAGACTTCGGTCACGCAGGGTGTCGCCGGTACGGTGAGGTCCGGATCGAGGAGCTCGTGGGACGACGCTAAGCTGCGCGCCTTCTTCGACGAGGGCGATCACGTCCGCGATCTGCTGGCCGTCGTGTACGACACTTCGGATGTGGATCCCGTCGGTCACGATCACCCGGTCATCGGTGGACTGTTTCGAGAGCAGAATGCCAGGTTGGCCGAGATAACGACTGTGCGTATTATTCTCTCTTTCTTCTCTCTCCTCTCTCTCACTCTCTCACTCTTACCCCCCTCTCCCCTCCCCTATACAGAACACAAGACTGACTTTGCATGACTATTCATAGCAACTGGATAATATGCTGGGTGACTGGCTGGCCAGAAAACAGCGATCAAGGGGGACGGTATAAATCGAGTCATGCTTCTTTTCTTTTCATCCCCTTCCTTTATACCCCATGTTTTCTTCTTTTTTTTTTTTGCATACCCTAACGACGACATGATTTTTTTTTCTATTTTAAGAATCTAGGTTTGCTCATTCTTGAGAGAAAGAGAGTATTTTCTTCTTTTCTTATAAGATTCCACACTCACTCACTTGCCTTTACTTCTTCTTGTTCTTTCTCATCGTCTTTTTTTTTTCTTGCTCTTCTTTTTTTTGTTCAAAAAATAAAAGTAAGACCTTTGAGGGTGTTATTAAAAATATATATTGATATACATATTCTGAGAGGGAAGGGGAAAGACCAAAATAAAAAAAAGTGTTGTCGAGGGAAAAAAATCTTGTTAACACTTTCCCCCTCCCATCTTTATTCCCTTATACGAATTGTTTTGGAAGGTGGGGGGAGAGGGGGGGGGGGCGTATCGTGGGGATTTCTATATATTATGGACTGTTTTCACTCATGGTCTGCTTTTCTCTCATATGCGAACTGTTTCTTGATTCCCTTTCATCTTGACCACGCTCTTCTTCTTCCTCCTCTTCGTCTTCCTCTCCTTCTCTCAAAAAAAGACGGCTTTTATTTCAACGTTGGGTGTACGAGTACCATCATGTACGTCTTGACGACTGCGTGCGAGTCCCATCAGTACAGTTTCTTAGACGCGTACAGGACTTACGGAGTATTATAGAGTACATGATGAGTATACAGATTACATGTAGACGACCTAGTTGAGACTGCCAATCCCACCACGTCGTGGCCTTGACAAAGTCGTATCATGCTGTCGTGGATCGTCAAGTCAGCGAAACATCAAATGTCATTAGACAACATCACTTCCAGCCAGCTGTTGAACCAAATGAAAATAGAAATGAAGAGCAAAATATACCCTAATTTTCACCACGACGCGCGCAAGAGAAGAAAGCATTTTCCACGCGTCTTTTTTCTTTCCTTCTCTCTCTCACTCTCACGCTAACCGGCGTAAAGATTTCCTTCACTCTCTTAGCCTTCCATCCTGTATATTTTATCTTCTCCCCTGTTCCTTTTCACTTATTTTGTCGTAGAAAAAGAAGAAAGAACAGAGAGCTCAGTTAAGAACGGGATTCCAAGTGGGGGGAGATGGAGCATATAATACCCCTAGAAACAAAACAAACCAACAAAAAAGTCCTACATACACATGCACAATGCCCAAGATGATTGAGAGGGGAAAAAAAAGGTGACGTTGCTTTTTTTCTTGGTTCTTCGTAGCTGATTTGGGAAGGAAGGTGGTATGGTTTTTCTATTTCTCTTTTTTTTATACCTCGGTCGTGACCTTGGCCTTGGCGTTGGTGACCTTGACACCAATCTGCTTAGCACGGGCAATGATGTCAACACGCTTGCGGGACGAGACGTTGTGGGCGATCCTGTAATAATGTTAGTTACTCTTCCCTATAGTCTCCTTCTGATTTCACTTCTTCTCTCCGAGGAGAGATCCCTTTCCCCTCCCAGAAGGAAAAAAAAAGTATGAATAGAGGTAGATGTGAGGGCATAGACATACTCGGCAGCGTAGGTGCGGTTGTGCATAAGCAGGAGCTCGACATCCTTGACGTTGTTGACAAGGAAAGCCTTGTGGCCCGAGGGCATCATGAAGCGCGTCTTCTTGTTGGTACCGTAGCCGATCTGTTTTTTTTTAGAGCAAGGGTCAGTCATACGTCCGAACATTCGAGATTGAGATGAGAAAAGGGGAAGGGGAAGGGTAGAATGGCAAAGAAAATTAAACATACGCTGGGCATAGCAGCGGTGCCCCTGAAGCGACGGCGGACACGGTTGTCGATACCCTTGGGCTTGCGCCAGCTAGGGCCGACACGCATGAAGAGGTCACTCTGGTGGCGGTTGAAGCGCTTCGTGCCTGTATGGAACAAAACCGGTCAGTCTTCCAACGTTCGAAGAAGATGATATTCTTCCCTCTTCCCCCCTCGCCAAAAAGTAAAAAGTAAAAAGTGCGTGGTCCATCCAGTTCGAGTCGTTCATGCGTCGAATATTCGGGAGAGACGTGGAGCTTCGTAATCGTTGCCGTCGATGTTTACATCGTCGTGGAGGAGGACAGCTCACGCGATGATTTTGGACAAAAGGGGGAGGGAGCATGGAGAAAATCTTCATATCTCCAAAAAAGACCAGAAGAAAGAACGTACGCTTCTTGACGATAGGGACATGCGACTTAGCGGCGGCCATCTGTCCGGATTGAAAATAACGAGGTTAGAATATCTGGTCGTGTATTCAGACTCTCGACAGGATAAGGGACTGATATCGTCGACATACCTTGACTGTAGGGGTTCGTACTTGATGGACGAAGTTGTCGGAAGAGTCGTCGTGAGAGGTTCAACAAACTGGAAGGGCGAAATTTTGGCCAACCTTGGGTCGCTGGATTTGGATGGGATCCCCCGGAATAGACGGCGCCAATTGGTGGGAGAGAGAATGTGGGACCCTTTTACCACACACACACACAAAAGTTGAAAGAAGGGGCGAGGGGGGGGGGGGGGGGGGGGGGGGGGGGCTTAGGGCTTGGGGTTGAATGGGTGGAAGCCGTGGAGAGACAGGTCAGTCACGTGTAATCTGGAGAGAGGGAGGGAAAAAAATCTTGTGTGCGAGATTCGAGCCTTGGGCGTCTAGCCCGATTTGGAAGGTTCCCCCCCCCTTAGAGTGGTATGCATGCTTTCACTGTCAGCAAGGGCACAAACCCTTTTCGTTACCGCAAAAACTCCAGGTGTGTCAATCCATTCCCCCTGCCCGCCCGCCTATACGCCCGTGACGACTTTTTTTTCGACGACGACTTCGACAATCCGCCCCCCGCCCGCCCACCGAATTTCCTCCCCCCATCACATCAGCAATCATGTCGTCGACAACGCAGCGCGTCCAGTGCTTCGGCAAGAAGAAGACGGCCACCGCCGTCGCCCTGTGCAAGGTTCGTCCTTGCTTTGACCCTTGAGGAGACATCAAAGATACGGAGATGAAATGGAAGGACCATGGGGAGGCATTATGAAAAAAAAGAGACGGACGGGGAGAATTAGTAGAAATGTCATGATACTAACTTGGCTCGGAAAAATACAGGCTGGTAAGGGCCTCGTCAAGGTCAACGGACAGCCTCTGTCTCTCGTTCAGCCCGAGATCCTCCGCTTCAAGGTACGAAACAACCGAGATACACTCTTGCCGTCGTCCCCTGCATCCTCTCTTTATCCCCCCTGCCCTCCGAACACATCTGTCGTCTTCCTCCCGCCGCGTGTGGGGAAAAGGATTACATCTCTCTTCTCTTGGAGATTGGTAAATCGTCGCGCGACACATACGTCTCGATCGGGGGAGGTAGAAGGATGACGGAGAGCGAGAGGGAAACGTATAGAAGCCCAGGTCTAACAATCACAGGTCTACGAGCCCCTCCTTGTCGTCGGCCTCGACAAATTCGCCAACCTCGACATCCGCGTCCGCGTCTCGGGTGGTGGTCACACTTCGCAGGTCTACGCCATCCGTCAGGCCATCGCCAAGGCCCTCGTCGCCTACTACCAGAAGTTCGTCGATGAGCACTCCAAGAACCTGCTGAAGCAGGCCCTCGTCCAGTTCGACCGCACCCTCCTCGTCGCTGACAACCGTCGCTGCGAGCCCAAGAAGTTCGGCGGTCCCGGTGCCCGTGCCCGCTTCCAGAAGTCCTACCGATAAATGTTTTTCTGTGTGTTTTTTCGGCAGCGCGGGAGGCAAGGGACAAAAGTTTTGGGGCAACGGGAACAAAAGACAGTGGAAGAAATAAAGAAACAATATTAAACAAGAAAGAGGCAACCAAAAAAAGGGGAACGACGAATGTCTCTTCATTTTTCAACTCATATTGCACTCCGTCGTCGTCTTCTTCTTCCCCTCCATTCTCTCTCTCTCTTCTCTTTACTCGCTCTTGCTTCTTCTATCTCATCTTGTATTACACCCCGTGTTCCTGGTTGAGCTGATGAGACCATGAACTCGGGACGGAATCGGAATCTATAACATTCCCCTGGCCGGGGAACGGGTTACCCAAATGGTATTTTGCGTGGCCTTTGCTTTTGGAGGATTGATAACGGATCTGACAAGCAGAATGATGGGGGGAAAAAGAAAAAAAAAAGAGAAACAAAGATTTTTTCTGAAGAAAAAAAAAGTCACGTGGTCTGTTTCTTGGTGATATCTCGACTGTTCCACCAAAGTAATGTACAGAATGATATTGCTGTCCTGGGGTCATACATCATTTCCTTGCAATGATGTCCCACGACCAGTAGTTATTTGTGCAGTGACTTTTTCATTTCCTTCCCTCTTCTCGCGTGACATGTCGTAATATATCCATCCATGCTAGTCGGACCACGACACCAGGCCCTTCTCCCTCCCTGTGTCATCCAGCTCTACAATCTCGGGCGCCCATTCCCCCCTCTCGTCCTCGGCGGCCAGCTCGGCCATCTCGACCTCGACCCGCTCCCCCTCCTCGGTGGTGGCCATGCCCCTGCGGGCGTACGAGTCCCCGCGCAGATCCCACCCCAGCGGCGGCCGGGCGACGACGGACTCGACGTGGGCCAGCGCGAGCGCGGCCGGCCTCGCCACGTCAGCTAGCGCGGGGTCCAGGTCGTCGACGCGGCGCTTGTACACGGTGAGGGCGAGGCGCAGGTCCCGCGACTGCGCGTCGCCGTAGTCGAGGATGGAGGCGTCTAGGTACTCGGCGCTGTGGGACAGCTGGGCGGCCACGGTCCGCAGCAGGGACGCCGCCAGCGATGGCCGCAGCGTCGGCAGCAGGTAGGCGCGCAGCACCAGGCGTAGGAGCATGTGCCACCACTGCTGGATGCAGGCGTCGTTGCCGAGGAGTGTGCCGACGGTGTAGGCGAACTGCAGCTCGGCCACGGCGGCCGCATCCCCGTCCCCGTCCCCGTCGGCGCCGTCCCGGCTCTCGTCCCGGGAGCCATCCCGGGAGCCGTTGTCGAGCAGGGACAGCATGTAGGATGTCGCGTCGGTGGCGTCGAGGGTGCGGTCGGCGCCCGAGTTGCCGGTCGTGTACGTCCTCGACAGCTGCGAGAAGGTGAATACGAGCTCTCGGTCCTGCATGGTCGAGCTGTCCCCCGACAGCATCCGCCTGTCCAGCTCTACCTCCGAGGCCAGTCGGACGGCACCGCTGACGCGGTCGGTCGTGTGCACCAGCCACAGGCGATTATCATTCCCGACATGGCTCTGCTGCTGCTCCTGCTGCTCCTGCTGCTCCTCCTGCTCCCCTGGCTGGTGCTGACGTCCGACGATGCGGTCCAGGGCGTCGGGGGTGACGTGGCCGACCAGCTGGGACCAGGCCTTGGCGTTCCCGGCCGGGAGGACCTGCTGTGCGCCGGCTCCTGGGTCGTGGTACGGCACCAGCTGGGCGTACACGCTGTCCGTGAGGTGGCGCGGCGAGGATGGTGCGCCGGCGACGACGAGAAGCACCTCGTCGGACTCGTCCCACTGCAGGACGTGGACGCGCGGCTGCTGCTGCTCGCCCGCCGTGCTGACGAACCAGGCGCCGCACCGCGTAGACACGCCGTCCGGGTGCGCTACCCAGATGAAGTGCGTGCCAGCGGGGACGCCGCGCAGGCCGACGAAGTTCCTGGCCGTGAGGGACACGCAGTCGTAGCCGATGGTGAAGACGTCGGGCAGACCGCGGATGAGGACGACGTCTCCGCCGTCCGCCGTCGTGGGTCGCTTGGCGACGACGACATCTTCCCTTTCCGGTTCTAAGGGGGGCATGTCGTCGTAGTCGTCGTCGTCGTCGTCGTCGTCTCCATATCGAGATGGGTAGTCGGCCTGAGAGTCCGGAGTGGGAGCCGTCTCAGGCTCTTCCTGGAAGCGTACACGCCTATGAGGCGAGGCCATGATTGATATGTGTGAGATGCGACCTCCCGCTGGTGGTTGGGTCGGTGCGTTTCTTTATACTCTAGTTTTGCATGGAGAAAAGTTGGGGGGGGGGCAGCAAACGATGGCCCTCAATCAGCTGCGACCACTGTCATGGTGTGGATGTAGTGGTCGATTACACACAGCGGATGGATTTCCCTCGTTGTTCCCCGGTGTGACGGGGGAAGAATGGTGTGTGTGTGTCGATGATGTCTCGGGGCTTGAAAGAGATTTGCAGAGGGGCATCGGACAGGGTGTCGGCTGTCAATATACACTGTGTAGAGGCATGTTCAGGCACCGGCTGTATACAGTGTGCATGTTGTATTCTTCTTCTTCGGTATCGTGATGATCGTTCCACACATGCAGCCTATAATCAGTCAAATGGGCCGGCCATTCAGGGCCATGTAAGTCGTGCATGTTGGATCAGCCGTCCCTGATTGCCATGCCGTCTGTCGTGGAAGTCATTCACGACAAGGAAACAAGCCCGCCGTACGCAGTCAACCACGGCCGTGGTCAGGGAAAAAGACTTGAGTACAGACTAACTATACACGCCTGGGACAGTACTTTGCCGTACACCCTCTCCCTTTCTTTTCTTTCTTTCTTCTTTTTTTTCGTATTGAAGAGAGCCTCTGATGATGACTGCGTAGCACTCGAGTTGTTTTCTTTCCGGAAAGTCCCGTCCCGAGAATCTCTCGATGGTAAGAAGGTGTTAGGTGGCTCTATATCCAGCTCCGAGCCCGGCCGAGCCGTCTCCCGTTGCCGGTCGCAGGACGATGTGCGCGTATATGTATACCCTTTTGAGTTATTCAGAGCTCCCCGGGCGTCTTGGGACGGTCCGTCATTTGCTCCTAGGCCTAGGACAGACGCCATCGATGGCCCCTCTATCGACATGACGGAAATCCTATGTTATATTGCCTCTGGAAGACGTGCCTCTGGAAGACTTGTCTCTGGAAGACTGCCACTTTACGGTCCGCACGATCTGGATCCATCGTGACTCCTCTAGACTCATCAGGGCGCGTCCACAGTAAGTTGAATAGTCCATGAGTGGCAAAATTCTCTGCATGCAGCTCTCTCTCTCTCTCTTTTCTTTTCTTTTTCTTTTCTTTTTTCTTTCTCTTTCTTTCTCTTTCTTTCTTTTATTTCCCATCTTTTTTTTTTTTTTGCCCCTCGATCCCGAGTCCAGGAACCGTCCTTGACGTGAGTGACCGAATCCTGATATCTGCTGTCCGAGTCCGATGCCGAGTATGGATGGCCTGGGATAGAGGAAACTCTACAGTCCTTGGGTCGGGTCTTCCAGTCATCCCTCGGCATTGTACTTTTATATAGATATGTATAGATGTATTGATACTAAATCAAGTGAGTTTATACATCGATACCGTCAGTGAGGTTCAGTCCGGTACCGACATCCGAGTCCGAGTCCCGATCTCAGGGTTACAAGTCGGGGGACGCCAGATTGCCTATACGCAGGTACGTATCCTCGTAGACAATGCGCGCCGCGCCGTGCTTTCTGGCAAGTATCGGAGCGGTGGCAGCGTACACGCGGTGACGGAGCTTGCTGACTGTTTACTTTCCCATCACCCTCCTCCTTCTCCGCCTGCTGAGGGAAACGTACGAGGTCTTGTGGCGGATTGCCCTTCATGGTTCCCCCACCGGACTGTTCCGGGAACCACCCGTCTACTTTCATGCTCCTATCGTCTGTTGTAACTTTTCAGATTCCTTCAGAGTTATCTTTATAGTTTTTTTCCCCACTAGAGGAGAAGTTGTGAGGAGAGAGAGGAGAGAGAGAGAGAGAGGTTCCACCATGTCTACGTGTCTCTGGGTATGTTCCTTGTCACGTCCTTGCACGCCCTTGCCACGTCCTTGGACAAGGGTAGTGATGGAGTGATGGTAAGCGGCTATGCCGTGAGAGGGGATCTTGCTCATCTGATCTGAGGAAGGAAATGTCGGATCTGACCCGGCTATTCGGGGTGGGTGTTTGCGTATCAGAACTCTGACCCGGTAATGTCACAGTCCTTGTGGAGTATTCAGTTGTTTCCTTTCTTTTTTTCCCCCTCTTCTCTCTCTCTCATCTTTGCATCGACTCGATACTGGCCTTTGTTACCATTCACGGTATATGTAGTTCACTCATCATAGTATTCACAGTTCCATCAGAGTGAGTGCATGGGGTGTATGCAACAAGCCTCACTCCTTTCACACCCATTGATACAACACTAGCAGCAGCAGCAGCAGCAGCAGCAGTAGTAGTAGCGGTGGTGGTAGTAGTAGTAGTAGCAGTAGTAAGCATCAATAGCAAGTATTGATTAATAGCAGCAGTGGTGAAATGGTATTAGTAGCAATGGTAGTGAGCCATAGTACATGTACGGAGTGATAGTAATACCAGCCATAGTAATACTAGTGATAGTACTACTAGTAAGAGTAGTACTAGTGATAGTAATACTAGCAAGAGGAATACTTAGGAGCACTACTAGCAAGATCGGTATACACACCCTCTTCCCATCATCAACACTACACCAGCACGATCCGACGCCGCCACGATCCGACACCAACGCAGATCTGACACTACAGATCCGACGCCGCAGATCTGACATGACTGGACTAACCCACGACATGCAACATCTGGCCCTAGCACCACCCACCCCATCCCGTAGTCTGATCCATCCCGTCAACGGTTCCGTTCCTTCTACGAGATGCGCTATATGTACACCCGATACGCTATATTTGGAAAGATAAGAATAAAAATTGAAAATAAAGAATTGAAACTGAGAATTATAATCAATGATCAGTGTATAAACCCTTCCCCAGCACCTACATACATACATGCATACATACATACAACATGATAAGAGAAATGACAGATTATAAAAATAAAAAAGAACCGACATGGGAAGAAGAATAGCCTCACCTCCCTCCCTTTCCCCCTCCCCCCCGGAGAAATCCCTGATATATATAAGGAAAAATGTACTCCGATATCTCGAAATAATCAACAAAGAACCTTGACACAAGAGAAATAAACAAATAACAATAGATAGACGGAAGAAGAGGGGGGGGGGGAGGACAAAACAAAACAAGACAGTGAATAGATTTGAAATAGAAGAATAGAAAGACACTTGCGCCTCCCCTGATAAGAGTAAGAACCAACCCAACCCAACCCAACCCCCCCAAATGCGGATAAAAATGAAAAGGAAGAAAACATTTGTCCCCTTGTAGGGAAAGATGGAAAAGAAGAGAATAGTAAGCCGAAGACGGATGAAGAAATGAAGAAAATGCGTAAAAAAAAGTTGAGAAGTGTGAGAGAACCCAAACCCCCCGGAAAAAAAAAGGCATATATCTCATGGATATTGAGTCGGGGAGAAGATATGAGGGAGAAAGAGAAGAAGAAGAAGAAGAAGAGAAGAAAAGAAGAAGAAAAGGAGAAGGAGAAGAAGAAGAAGAAGAAGAAGAGACATGGAGTGATATAAAGAGACATGGGAAAAAGAAAGAAATCACCCGTCTCAAAACACTTTTTAAACTCATATGTGATTTGATAGAAATAACATGTTTCTCTTCAGCATCTCCTTGTCTCGTTGTGCTCGTTGTCTCTTCTCTCTCTTCTCTGTCTCTCTCTCTCTCTCCCATCATGCTCTCAATGCTCTTCTTCTCCCATCTTCCCCATGCTATTGTGTCGCTCATAAATCTCCCAGAACATGTGCTGTCGGGGGTTTCTTCTTTTTTTTTGGGTGGTGACGTGTTCCCCCTCTCTAAACTTCTCTTGCTCCTCCACTTTTTTTTTGTTCTTCTTCGAGATTCAGGTGACAGGTATGTGCTGGTAAGTGTATCCCTTTGTGTGTTTTGGGGGGGTGGGTAGGGGTGATCCATGACATAGACAGACTCGCGAGCACCAGACGTACTTTCAAGGTGTCAAATTTCATGTATTGATTCCCTCCCACTCAGCCTTCCCGATGTCTGCTTTTCGTCTTATGCAAGGTCTATAGATCGTTCGCACGCCATGCTCTCAGTGGTTGGGAGGCTGACCGCCGTTGGCTAGTGATGTACAAGAAGAAAAACTCGATTAGCCTACGATGCCCCTCCCTGCAAGACACCGCGTCCCCTCATCGTGGGAACGCCTGCTGGACGGTTTCACGGTGGCGTCGGTTTGGCTCGACTCACATTGGCTGTACATTCCTTGGCTCGGATGTCCCCCGTACGGAGAGTGAGGAGGGTAGTTCGGGTACATGTGGTTCTGGTAATCGGCCATGGGTTGCTGAGGCATGCCCGCCGACGGGGGAGCCGGGTACTGCGTGGCCTGGTATCCGATCGGGGGGAGGGTAGGTCGGGATGAGGGGTAGGTCGAGGTCGGGGTGCCGTCGGCTTGGCCGTCGGATCCGGGATTCTGTGCCGCAGCAGCCTGCGCAGCCTGCCGTTGTCTCTCTTCCTCGGCCTTGCGGTTATTCTCCTCTTCCTTCTTCCTAGCCTTCCATTCTTTGCGGATCTCTTTGAACTCTGTCGGCCGGGGGTGGAACGAAGGCGTTAGCTTTTAGGGTCAAAGGAAGAAGAAAAGTTGGGGGGGAGGGGGGAGTCGAGGATCCGGCATGGATACCGGCGACTCCACGTTGCTGCGTATCCCTCTCTCTTGTCCTGAATCAATCTTCTCTTCTTCTGCTTCTTGTCTCGTATATATATATACCTTCCCGCCACCCCTTGTCTTGTGCTGGTTGGCACCTAGTTGGCGCCGCGCATAGTTCCCGAAGCCACGGCACGCTAATCAAGCGTCGCGCCGGAACCCTGCAACACCAAGCGCATTCTGCGTCCCTAGCGCGAGCCCTGGATCTCGCGCCAACCTCACCATGGCCGAACCACGGCAGCCCATAAAAGACGAGAAAAGAAGCAGAGAGAACTCGACCGATTGATTCCGTAAACTAGAGATGAAAGGAAAAAAAAAACATACGTGGAGGGCCGGTAAAACCAAAATGTTGCCAAAAGTCTTGGACATACCTTCGGGGGTCCTCTTGGGTCCATGCGACTGCATAGTCACATGGGCGTTGAGGTGGTTCAATGTTCCGTAGGCTTTCTCGCACCCATTCCATCCACATTTGTACATCCTCTCGATCTCCTCATAGCGTCTTCTGGGACGCTTGTGCTGCTGGGCACCCGGAATGGGAACGAACGAGTACACCTGTTGGCGCGGTACCACGTCAGCACAGATTCGTCACTCTAGCGTCAGCCCATCTTGAACCCCGCATACGCATCGCAGGACTCTCCGTCCGCTAGAGCCAGACTATGATGAGACGCGGTTCGAGAAGAACTCTAAAAGAAAAGATAGGGGGGGGAAGAGAGAGAGAGCGCGCGCCACAGAAAAGTAAAAATTTCGCCCCCGAAGAAGTTTGTGCTGAGGAGGCGCCCGGGTAAGGACCCGGACCGGACACCTGCCGATGAACGGATTGAGAGAGGGGATAAGGGGGGGAGAGAAGGAGGGAACCAGTCCTACCTGGCTGGGACGCTGCTGGGGAGGTGCCGGGGCCGGCGAATGGCCGTACATGGGATGACTAGGTGTCAGCGGGGGAGGACCGTGGCTCCCGTAGCCTCCCCAGTCTGGACGAGGCTGGGCATAGAGGCCACTGCTCGGATGAGAGTATCCCTGGGACATGTCGGGGTTGGGCCCGTACGGCGATTGCTGGCTGTAGGGATAAGTCGGGCTGGGCGCAGCGATGGGCGGGTCTGCGAGGATTCACCGTCAGCATCTTCGTCTCCTGGTGAGCTATCGACGCGGCCCCGAGACGGGCGGCGCGGACATGTTAGGCGGCTCGGCGTGCATCCGACACGCGCGACGCAGGCGGTACTCACTGTTCGGTTGCTGTGCCATGGTCGACGGAGGCTGGTAGGGACGCTGGTGTTGGAGTTGATGCTCGGGGTAGGACGATCCCGGACGCGACGGAGGAGGATACACGCTATAGTCGGAGGTGGGGGTCGCCGATGTGGGATACGGCTGGTGAGGCTCCTGCTTGACCGGAGAATATTGCGCCTGTGCGGCGGCGGCTGCGGCGGCGGCGGCAGCGGCAGCAGCTGAGGCGTGGTCGGACGTCGTGGGAGCTTCGGAGTGTGCGTCGCCCACGTTGGAAGGATAAGGCGAGGGCAGGCCGGTGTGCGAATAGTCGTTTGTGCCGCGGTCCATAGATGTGCGATCTGCGCGAGACAGTCGAGCTGTTATGAATGGAGAGCCGAGTTTTCTGATAACGGAGAGATGGTGATATCCGAAGGAGGGGCCCGGTGCCACCCGAACTCTGGTAGTCGGTACGTGATGACCAAGCGTGCAATCCTGTCGTATGTGGTGGTGGCGCGTAGATAGTCGCGAAGCGTACTTGTAGGGATGATGATTGCGACACAATTGACGAGTGAGACGGCCGTGGCGGCTTGTGGCTGTGATGTGGCGACTCTGATGTCCTAATTGAAGGACTTCCGAGAACCTGGTCAACTTGAATCCTCCAAGATTGAGATAAGAGGCAGAGAGGAAACGTTCGCAACCGACGCGACGAGGGGAACTGGGCAAACGGCAACAATATATGAGGAGGGGAGGGAAGGGTTTTGGGAAGAGGGGGAGGAAGGCCAGCAAGACGATCCCGGGTGTGCGTCTGTGTCTGTGTGTGCGTGTTTGTGTGCGTAGAGACAAGAGGAAGGG